CCAAATGAGACTGCAAACCCAGGCTAACCAAGCGTCAGTTTTTCTCTGTTTCCTACCAAGTTTGTCCCTGTTAGCTGACAAAGTGAAGGATTTTCATGCTCAGACCTAATTTAAGTCTTCCCCTTTCGGAAGAAAAGCTGCTGGGTTTTGTAGCCAGCTCTAAGACGGTGAAACTACCTTTCTCACTGACCTAGTCAGGAAAGGGGATAGAAGGATCCCTAAGCAAGAAGGCTAAAGACTCCTACTGTTCTTATTGAAACTCTAGTGGTTTTTCAGGAAGAAATGCTTCCCAATTAAATGTTTGTCTTTGGTCAATTTCCAGGGCCCTGAAAATTGTGATTTTTTTAACACATTTGCTCAGTTTTATACATATCTTTTTTTCACTGACATCTTCATGCCCGCAAAACCTCAATCCCCGCCTCATCTGCGTTTTTGATACTTATGTTGTATCTTTATTTAAAAATACATATTCATTACTACTCTCTTATAACAATTATTTATTCTTAGTGCTAAAGGTAAATATATATTCAACACTTACCCCTAGACTTTATGTGAATGTCTCTTCAGTTTGAAGTATATTCTATTGGAGAATCCTCAGGAAATGTTCATGGGGCAATATTCCCTGAGTTCTTGCATGACTCTAACATGATTTTTATAGTCTTCATATTAAAGACTGAATGTAATATCCTTACCTCATATTTTCTTTCCTTGAGTATATTCGATATGTTACTATATTATTTTCTGACATAAAGATTTGCTGTCCAAAAGTTAATAACAATTTGATTTTCTTTCCCCAGAACTGACTTTGTTTAATACTTTTATAAGAAAATGCTTAATGTCCATTCTGAGACTATTTTCCTACTTTTGCAGTATAATCTTTTAATATGTATTTTCTAGTCATTTTATTTTAAGAAATTGTACTTGAATTATAATTTTCAGTATTTTTTCTGTCTATTGTTTATTTCCTTGAGTATCTTCTGTTAAGCATACTTTTTATCTTCTTTGCCTGTCTCTTTCTTTGAATCCCTTTTACCTCTTTTTTCTTTTAAAATTCATTATTTATTAACTTATTTCTTTTAAAAATTTCCCTCATTCTATTTTTTAAATTTCTTTTAATGCATTAGCTTTTGTGTTAATATATTCTTGGTTTTGTTCTAGTTTGCTCTTAATTTCTGAAATGATTTTCAAAACTTATTATTTCCAACCCTTTCCTGAATTCTCTCACTTATCTTTTATAAACTTTCTTCTCTCCAATTGACTCATTTACTAGTCTTTCTAAATTTTCTCATAGCTTATATCATTTTCTTTATTTCTTTTAGCTCATTTTGAATAAGTAGGCTATAGTTTTTATTTATTTTGAAGTCATGTCTTTCTAATATGCTGTTATTGTTGTAGGAATGTTACTTTGTTCTCTCTTTTTTTTTCTTATGGTATCTTTACATGTGATTCTACCCCATTTCTTTTCTATTGCTCGATCTAAGTATGTTTAAGTTAAATGGATTTTGATTTTTATCATGGAAGAGTGGGCCAGGCTATCTTTTCTAGAGTCTTCAGTTTCTCTAGAGCTCTCTCTTCTGTTATGTTCAAGGTAAATTATATGCCACTGTACTTTGTGAGATGTACTTCCTTTCCTCCTATCCCTCACTTTTATCTAAATTGCCTCTTTGCTTTCTCCTGTTGGGCCTGTCCTGTTTAATTTGGATTCTACTCCCAGGGGTTTCTTCTCAGTATGGGATATGTCTGAAGAGTCCCCTCTGCTCTAGCACCGACAAGCCTTTTCTTCTTTCCCTAGAAGGCTCTGGTAATTTGGTGCCTACATACTCCTTTCTGCATTTCTGCTGCTATTCTCAGATTAGTCTGCCTTTTTTCCCAGTGATTGCCTGTTGGTTTTTTTCTGGGGCAGGGGGAGAGTTCTCTAGTTCTAAGGGCCATCAGGAGCCCAGCTGATTTTCCTGTTTCTTTTTGCACAGTTGCTGATATCACAGTGGCCTAGTGGTTTGTCTCCACCTATTAATGGTGATATATTGTTATTTAGTGTTCCCGCAGATATTGCTGTAGATATTGTGTTTAGTTTTGCTACTATAGTTAGTCTGTTTTTATTAGGAATTTCAGGAATATTCAAAAAGTTATGCCACTTGTATTTCCAACTTCCCAGAATCTGGACAAACTTTACAAAGAATTTAATACTTATGTATTTGGGTAATGCACATTAAAATAGAGTTAATGTACCAAGTGGATTTCATAAACTGCACAAATGTGTGCCTAGGTCAGTCTCTGTTTAAAATAAACTGATAGGTTCTTCCCTGGTGGTGCAGTGGTTAAGGATCCGCCTGCCAATGGAGGGGACACGGGTTCGAGCCCTGGTCCAGGAAGATCCCACATGCTGCGGAGCAGCTAAGCCTGTGCACCACAACCACTGAGCTTGCTCTCTAGAGCCCGTGAGCCACAACTACTAAGCCCACGTGCCACAGCTGTGCACCTCAACAAAGGGTAGCCCCCGCTTGCCACAACTAGAGAACAGCCCGCGTGTAGCAATGAAGACCCAATGCAGCCAAAAAAATAAATAAAATAAAATTTCTCTCATTAAAAAATTTTTTTAAAATAAAATAAACTGATATAAGTCGAAAAGTTACAATAATCTCAAAAATAAAATCAATAATATTAATGGTGGTATGCAAACATGGCAAAAAAAGTTTCATAGTGATATACAAGTAACTCCATTTGGAAGTACTGTTATAGTTAAATGCCTTTAACCATAAAAGACAAGGGTTTTATTGTTTTGTTTTGTTTTTTAAATTATGGGGTTGGAGTAATATTTTGAAGCAGCAGTAGAAAGCAAAGAAGGCACTGATTCCATCTCCTGATCTTGAGGAAATAAGGGTATAAGAAAACAAACAACCACTGTCTGAGAATGATGAGGGGAAGATGGGCCCCAATGGGAAGGCCTGGCTTCAATTAAGGAAGGGGGGGAGGAGAGAGTTATCAGTGAAGAGGACAGCTGATACTGATGAGAGCTTGAAACACAATGAAGTTCTAAAGGCTAGGTATAACTTTCAAAATATCCAATTATTTTTTAAAAAATGTGCTGTTGATAATAATGAGGATGTTCATACCCCATGATCCATTCGTTATACTTCAGGGAATTTATCTTAAGTAGCTGAATGGTCAGAAGAAAGCTGTTAGTTTAAGGACGATCCTTGCTATAAAGATTGTAATAGTTTAAATAAGGTAAAAACCCAAACTGAAAAAGCATATGCTTCAATAATTGAAAATTACTAAACAAATGATGATGTGTATATATGACATAAAGCATCTAAGAATTTCAACCACAAATAGCTTAAGAATCATGCAAAACATTTTAAGTAAAAATATAGGTAACACTTTTTGGTTAATAAAATTGCAAAGTATGAAAAAAAATACATGCATACAAATAAGATTTGTATAGATGTAGAAAAAAAGAAATAAGATTTTCAGGATATTAGGATGATAGAATTGTTTTCATTTATAATTTTTTTTAATTTATTTTTTAAAATTTATTTTTGGCTGCATTGGGTCTTTCGGTATGCGGGCCTCTCACTGTTGTGGCCCCTCCCGTTGCGGAGCGCAGGCTCCGGACGCACAGGCTCAGCGGCCATGGCTCACGGGCCCAGCCGCTCTGCGACATGCGGGATCTTCCTGGACCAGGGCACGAACCCGTGTCCCCTGCATCGGCAGGCGGACTCTCAAGCACTGCGCCACCAGGGAAGCCCTGCGTTGGGTCTTTATTGCAGCGCGTGGGCTTTCTCTAGTTGGGGCGAGCGGGGGCTAGTCTTCGCTGTGGTGCACAGGCTTCTCATTGCGGTGGCTTCCCTTGTTGCTGAGCATGGACTCTAGAGTGCAGGCTCAGTAGTTGTGGCGCACAGGCTCTAGAGCTCAGGCTGAGTAGTTGTGGTGCACGGGCTTAGTTGCTCCGCAGCATGTGGGATCTTCCCGGCTCGGGGCTGGAACCCGTGTTCCCTGCATTGGCAGGCAGATTCTTAACCACTGCACCACGAGGGAAGTCCTATAAGTTATTTTTGACATTATTATAGTTTGCTTACATATGTATATATATGTGTGTATGTATATATATATATCACCATCCTGAAAAGAGAGACTACAAAACTTCATCTAATATCACTTTTTAAATGAAAATAATTTATTAATGGTGCTTCCTTGTAGTCCTTATGTGTTTTTCTGTGTCATTTCTTCTTTGGAGAAATATTTGTAAGCTCTAAAATGACAATTAGGTATGAAAACAGTAAAAAGATCAGCATATGTCAGGAGTTTGGTAGGAGGAAGGTATGAATAGGCAGAGCACAGAGGATTTTTAGGTCAGTGAAACTATTCTATATGATACTACAATAGTGGATACATGTCAGACATTTGTCAAAATTCATGGAATGTATAACACCAAGAATGAACCCTAATGTAAGTAAACTATGGCCTTTGGGTGATGATGTGTTTGATGTCGGTTCATTGATTGTAACGAAGGCAACACTGTGGTTAGGAGTGTTAGTAATGGGGGAGGCTGTGCATGGGTGGGACAGGGGATATATGGAAACTCTGTACTTTCCACTCAATTTTGCTATGAACTTAAAAGTTCTCTAAAAGTAACTGTCTATTAAAATTTTTAAAAAGACAGTTAGAGGCTAGGTTATAACATTTTATGTTCTACCTGATCCAGGAAATGTGATCTGAAGTCTAAAGCACCAGTTTGGGGTTAAAGCAGAGGAACATAACAAGCTGTGAGCTGGATTCTGTTAGGGTAGTTTCCCTATAGTTTTTCAGTGAGAAACAACTCTGTGCTTCTCAGTGACTCTTTTGCCATTTATACGAGGACTGTGGGTGGGGTCCCCTTCATAGGTGTACCCTGAGGATAGATGAATCTCTATACGAAAACTGTTCTCACTTCTTGGATTAAAAGCACTTTACAAACCAATCACAGATCCATGTCTTTTCTACCTTATGTTTTGTTACAGTTACACAGGATGAATGGAGAAGCAACCATACAATAGAAATAGAGATAAATCAGACTCTGGAAATACCGTGCTTTCAAAATATCTCCTTAGAAATTTCATCTGAGCTCACCTTCGCATGGTTGGTGGTAAGTGTTGCCCTTTTCAGTGAATAACTGCAATGATCTTTAAATATTAATGAAGTAAAAATGAATAACAAGTAATAATAGGGAAGGAAACATGCTGGATGAGAGGCAGGCATTATGTGGAAGGTCGGGGAGTAGCCAGGGGAGGGAAAGAAGGACGCTAGGATTCCTTGCAACTCAGCAAGCCTCTGGGTCTGTGAATGCAGGAGCTTAGAAATTAGTTCCTCAAGGTTAGTTTATATTTCAAGCTATATACTAAACTGTGATTACAGAGAGAAAAAAGTGGGATGGTGCCCCCGAGAGGAGCCACATCCCGCAGAAGCTCCTATTCACACACACTTGTTTACACACATGTGCAGAGGTGTAGACTACCTTTTCCCAGAGCCCTTACTACTCCATTCTGGAAAATATAACATTGCTTAGATTGGGAAGCACAAACTCTAATGCTTATCAAATATAGGGAGAAAATGTGCATGAGAGAAGCAGGAGCTGAATAAGAAATAGTCACTGCCCAGCTCTATTATTGCCACAGGCCCGTAGTTGCCATATTTTCTGACTTAAAAGAATAAAACAAAACAGAAATCTGGATTTTTATGAGAAATTTTCCAAGGCAAGCCAGCCAGCTCTTAACCAGTATATACAGTAGACCTCTAGTACTACTGTTAAATCAGTTGATACCACAAGTCTTACACAATTATAAAGATAACCATAAACACACTTTCGAGAATCATGTAATAGGGTGTTTATTTAGGTGATCCAGAATATGACTATATTAATTTTTCATATCATCATGAAAATGAAAACACAAGAGTTAAAAATTCTTACAGAACTAATAGTTGTCCGTGAACATATCTGCTGATACCACCTGCAAAATACTGTACTCGCATGGTTGATCATTCGTGTTACAAGTGAATAGATTTTTGTGGGCTGTCTTGGAAACTAGAACCTTCATATAAAAAGATTTCTCTGAGGATGGTGCCAAATCCAAAATAATTGACTTGCAAGTAGGCCTTAAAATACAACCTACTGATAATTTTTTACTGTCTAGATATTTTTGGATAGTCAGTAGGATCAAAAGATACTGTAAAAGAACTTTCTCAAATTGTCCTAAAATCTACAATGTCTCCTTGTCATCTGTCAAAAACCACATTTTTTTCCCCCTTTTAGGGTTTGGTTTCCAAAATGTAAGACTTCCTGCCTGACATTATACCCATCATTAGTATAAGTCAATTGTTCTTAACAAATGTGATACAGTGTGGTTCCTAGAAAAAAATTTTTAAAGTGGAGATTATGTCAGGAAGTCAGAAACCTGCTGCACTAAACATTACTGTAATGAAAATGCAGTATCTATACCTTGTTTACATTATTAATATATACCACCAATGGGTGAAACGTTTCTACCCTAATTATCACAAATTCACTATCAATGGGAATAGTAAAGTCTAATAGTAATAAATAAGACTAAAGTTTACAGAATATTGAGCAGAGTTCCCTGTGCTCAATATTCTGTAATAACCTAAGTGGGAAAAGAATTTGAAAAAGAACAGATACATGTATATATATATAATTGAATCACTTTGCTGTACACCTGAAACCAACAAAACATTGCTAATCAACAATACTCCAACATAAAATAAAAATTTTAAAAAGAATAATAATAAAAAAATAAAAGACAAAAAAAGTTTAAAAAGACTAAAGTTTAATAAGCTTTACTGTACAGATTTTTGCTGGCTAGTCAGTTGATCTGTAGTGAACTTATCTTTTTTTTTTTTTTTTTTTTTTTTGCGGTACGCGGCCTCTCACTGTTGTGGCCTCTCCCATTGCAGAGCATAGGCTGCGGACGCGCAGGCTCAGCGACCATGGCTCATGGGCCCAGCCGCTCCGCGGCATGTGGGATCTTCCCGGACCGGGGCACGAACCCGTGTCCCCTGCATCGGCAGGCGGACCCTCCACCACTGCGCCACCAGGGAAGCCCTAGTGAGCTTATCTTATCTGAAGGGTGTCTAATCTGTTTTTCCAAGCAAATGTTAAAGCTTTCAGTCAGCTTATGTCTTTTCTGTGACGCTGAGCTTCTCCAGGGCAAAAAGCTGCATCACTCATTTCAAAAATCCCTAGCATCTAGTATAGTGCCTAGAACATAGGCACTTAGTAAATATCTAATACATAATTGAATTGTTTCATTTATCTTTGTCCCCTTCCCTCACAGTCCTATTCGTTGGCCTCATATTAAATGGATGATCACTAAACCTCATGCTGGCTGTCTGATTGGTTAATGAGCAGCTCATTAAGTATCAATGACTAGATAACTGATAAGACATCCTCTATGTAACAGTTTTCTTCTAAGAAACTAACATTATCTGTGAATCCTGCCAACATATTTAGGATAAATAAGGGATGGAGAGATTGCACCTAAGGTCACACAGTGAGAGAGTGAGTCCTTAACTTCTACTGGAACTTCAAGCCATGCTCTCAGTTTAAAGAATGCATCATAATTGAGACAACTTGAGGAACTTTTTGAAAGAAACTTCTTTTCACAGGGAACATTGTATTGGCAAATGTGCTGATCAAATTCCAACTGTGCATTCCCTTTTAAAATGTCAAAATCTATTTACTCCTCTAATTTACATCCATACTCCATACTGTTGGCACTGTGGGATTCAGCAAGCCTGAGATGAAATCATCTAATCTCCCATTATTAAGGAATAAACTACAGTTCTTTATGTCATGACTGTTGTAGGTCAGAAGAGAACATAAATATCCCCTCAATCCATTTTTTAGTGCTTTAGTTTCTTGTTAAACTGGCAGCAGTAATCATAATGATAACCAGTTGTTCTTAACAGACATGATATAATGTGGCTTTTAGAAAAAAGTTAAAAAAGTAGAGATGGTGAAGATGAGCCCAGGAGGGTAGAAACCTGCTTTATTGAACTCAGTAACTCTGGGGAGCTGCAATGTGCTTCCACTTCAAGTCCTGCATTAAACCCTGGAAACAATTTGACAAACTAAAATTAGTTTAATCGAAGTCACTGGAAAGCAAAAGCCATGTCTCGTATGTGGAATTTTATAAAATCTAATTAATTCAGTTATGACCCTCATGATAAAGGTGATTATTGGGATTCTCAGTTATCATAAAAATATTATTTGCTGGGTGTCTCTGATCCCATGCTAACGCTGCGTTAAATGTGTTCATGGAGCAGATCCTTTGCATTTTGGAATGTTACATTCCAGGATCATGACTACAGTGAAGTAGAAAGGCATCTGGTGCAAATTGTATATCCAACATTTATCTAGAAAGAGAGGTAACTAAGTAAACGCAAAGGGCTAACCCTCGGTGTCAGCTGAGGCTCCATGTGCATGGTTGGATGATGTAGAAAAAGTCACAGAATGTGTGTATTTAGATGGAGTGCAGTTGGTAGAGAAAGGACAAATGCTATTTTTCCTAGTTTATGTCCTGGGGCACAAGCACGCAGTCAACAGGGAAATTCTGCGGGCTTATTCTGGGAGCTTCTAAATACAGTCTAATATTCTGCATTCATTCCAAACTATCATCCTGATTTCCCACAGTATAAATTTCAGTTCAGTCTAACAAACATATGTGAATCTGTTTTAAGTGCTAGGTCCTGCAGGGATACAAAACTATATTGAACATGTTTCCTACCATGAAATACAACTTTAATAAAAATGTAAAAACTAGCAACATAGAGGGAAAATAATTTGATTCTGACTAAATGTACCTGGAAAAGCCTCTTAGGTCATGTCTGAGCTGGATAATTAAAGCCAGCAAACAACAGACATGTACTACACCAAGACCCTGGGACCTGTGAGCACATAGTGGGAGTGGGAGTAGGGGAGGTGATGAGGGAATGTTTGTTCCCAAACTTGGTGGATAAAGAGAAATCCATGACTTTTCTCTTTAAAATCATGAAAAGAAAATGAGAAGCATACCAGATTCACACAGTTCAATATTAGTGATAAAGGTATATAACTAAAACCTAGATGCTTATGCTTCTATAAATTTTTATCTATAAATGTCTCTTTTAAATATTCTCTTCTTTATTACTTGTAATGTTCTATATGTGAACAAAAATCGAAATGGTACCATCAACAATATTGGTTTTCCATGCCTATGGGAAGCCTAGCTATTCAGAAAAGAAAGCTGTCACCTTCTACCTGATGGCAACTGACCCTGTCTTCACCATAATCAAAAATGATGTGTTAACAAATACCGTATGCTAACACATATATATAGAATCTAAAAAAAAAAATGGTTATGAAGAACCTAGGGGCAGGATGGGAATAAAGATGCAGACCTACTAGAGAATGAACTTGAGGACATGGGGAGGGGGAAGGGTAAGCTGGGACAAAGTGAGAGAGTGGCATGGACATATATATACTACCAAATGTAAAATAGATAGCTAGTGGGAAGCAGCCGCATAGCACAGGGAGATCAGCTCAGTGCTTTGTGTCAACCTAGAGGGGTGGGATAGGGAAGGTGGTAGGGAGATGCAAGAGGGAGGGGATATGGGGATATATGTATATGTATAGCTGATTCACTTTGTTATACAGCAGAAACTAGCACACCATTGTAAAGCAATTATACTCCAATAAAGAGGTTAAAAAAAAAATGAAGTGTTAGCCAACCTACAAAGTGTTGACAACCGATTATGATGATTGGAAAAATATTGTTGTGGACTTCTATAAAATGGACATGGGGAGCTTTGCAAGGACCCTACTTGACAGCACTGACTGGATGGAGAATAAATGGAGCAAAGTGAAGATAGGAAGCAGTTAGGAGATAAAGAAGTAACAATCGATGCAGTTAACAGAGTTTATTGAATGGGCTGTATACACTCAGCACCTACTTGTCCTGTGGCCACCACTGCCAGCCCTGACATGGAGATGAGGTCACCTCACTAAATCAAATAGTTCCATGGTCTCTTTTCTGCATTGAAAATTCTGATTCTAGTACTAAAATAGGAACCCCTCTGCAAATTATTTTAGGGTTTGTGAGGTCATTAAGAGACATTCAGGAGGAGTTTTCCGTGATTCAATATGAACCCTCCCAGCCCTCATCATGTTAATTATTTTATCCAACTCCTGTATGTTATTATGCATTTATTTTTCTTCTATGGGTCCTGATTTTCTATTTGTTTTTCTTGTGAATTTTTCTTCTCCTCAAACAGACTCTCAGCAGAAAAGTCAAGGACTGTCCATTCTACTTCTTTTGTGAAGCAGTATGTAGCAAAGGCATTAATAGCATGGCTTTTCAAGGGAAATTGTTGTTTTCAAATCCTGGCTCTACATTTAATAGCTGTATGACCTAGGAGCTAGGATTAGGGTGAAGTGAGTAGGGTCCTCACCTTGGGTGCAAAATTTAAGGAAGTGCCCCAAGAAATCAGTAATCAAGATATATATCTTAATAAAATATTTTTAAAAATCAAAATTTAGGGAAAATCCATGATGAACAAAATGTCGAATTTTAAAATAAAGGCACAATGTTTTTTGTTTGTTTTGAGATCCTACTGTGCTGTTCAAAGAACAGGATTTTCCAATCAGCCTGTGGTTCCTTGGTCTTCATGGCATCATGCCCCCCACGGGTGTGGGTTTGAAGGTTGACAAGGGCAGGAGAAAAGATTGAGCAATGCATGGCTTCATGTAGTCATTTTCAAAATGTTAAGTTGTAGAGAGTTTATTAATTTTTTCCATTGAGGCAAAATATGGGAGAATATTTTGATAAGTGCATATAGGGATACATATTTTTCCTTTTGTCTCAGAATTCTATACAGCCTTGGATACGTTGCCCAGCCTGAGTTTTAGTTCTATCATCCACAAAAGGGGATAATTGTAGTTATATAATATAATTATATTATAATTATATAATTATAGTTTTATAATTATATTGTTACAGTACCGGCTCCATGGTGTTATTGTGAGGTGCTAAATAACTTAGCACAGTACCTATGCTCAATACATATTAAAAACTAATCTTTAAAGAGTTCGTTTTAGGACTCTCCATAATTCTTCAGTTTAGTTGAGCAGAGAGTAAATACTCATGAATTCACAGCAGGCTGACTCAGTTGAGGCTGGAAGACAGTGATTTAGTATTAATTGAACATCTGTTGAGTGTTAGGACTCGTGTAGGTGTATCATATACATTAGCTAGTTCAGTCTACATTCCTCATTCAGTTTTGTAAGGGTCTACCAAGTTGGAAATCCCATGAAGTTTTAGAAATATTTATTAATATTTTTAAAATTATCAAAAGAAGAAAAGAAAAGAAAAACAGGCAAGAATAAAGGTTCTGTTTAAGATCCCCTACCAGACTGTTTCCGGAAGAACAGGTGCCCTAAGATCATTCTTAACAGGTAGGAGTTGAGGTGTATTCTCTGACCCCTATCACCAAAGGTAGATCAATATATCATAAAAGGCTCCTTTCAATCAGCAAATTGCCCACACCTCTAAAATCTCCAATTTATACAAAGACCTCTGGCTTCCTGGAATTTCTTATACATTTTTCATTCAAGAGAGTCCACAAAAAAAATTTTGTTTTGTGATGGCTTGGTTTTATTAAGATGTGCTGTCTCAGAGGCTTCTTTGTCCCTTTTTTGGTGCTGTGACTTAAGTACCTTCTTTGTGTGACCTGTGAGCAAGTTAGCTAACCTTGGTTTATTCCAGATCGTTGTAAGGAGTAAATAAGGTAGGACTTGAAAGAACTTGGCACAGTGCCTCAAACACAGTAGGTGCTAAATAAATTTAAGCTATGACTAATAAGAATATAAAAATGTAGTAGTGGTCATTGTATAATGTTAGTATTGTCTCTCCCTCTCCCAGCCCTAGACATTTCATTGTTTCCCTGCATTTTGTCACCTCTCTTCCCATTTGCTCCACGAAGGCAGGTGCTCACATGCAGATTCTTGCCTCGCCCCTTTATATCTGGAGACTCTGGAATCTCTCAGGCTGTCCTGATGTTGTAGATTACAGGGCACACTTTGCAACCGAATCCATCTTTCCCAACGAAGGAACAAATCCCTCCTCTACAACAGTCAAGCATCCAGAAAATAAACAAACAAAAAACACTCTGCATAATTTTTTAAATATCTTTTCTCCATCAGTTAAACTGCCCTGGCCAGTCACCCCCAGCTATGCAGTAAAGGAAAAAGCAGTTCTCTCACCAATCTCCAACTTCAGCCTCTGACTGCCCTTCTTCCACGACAGAGTGACAGATGGAAATGTTCCAAATGGCGAGTCATTTACTAAAAGATCAAGTACTTTGAACCCCTAGATTCTCACAAAAGCAGTCCCTGTGCGTAAAACAATAGTTGTAAAGCGTAGCTTATGCTGAAGAACCTGCAGGGGGAGCCAGCCTCCTTAATTACTGGCCTCCAGATCAGCAGACGCTGAGTGAAATGCCTTCCTCTCTCTTCTGCTGTCAGGGCTCCTTTTGGGGCCCCTGTCTCCAGAACATAAGTTCTCTCCCTTTAATTTTCTGTATCCTTCCTCGTTAGGAAGGCAGTGGCACAGACTCTTAAGTCCTACTTTATGTGGGTATAAAGTTATGTTCCTTGCTTCAGGAGTAAGTCTGTGATTCTCTGCAGGCATTACTACCTGTATATCTGTAGGTAAAGCTGATACCAATCCTCACCATGTTCACCTAAAAAATTGTCTTGCGTAAGAGTTTCTACTAAGTATATTCTGGAAATACCTATATAAACTATCTAAGTAGTCTGCCTTCCTGTTTTCCACTTCTTGCTCTGCTCCCAGCTCATACTTGAATTTTCTCCCTCACCTGGCTTCCCTTTCTTCTACCCTGAACTGTCTCATTTTTTAAACCAGAGAGTCCAAGTCACAGACCTTTGTTTTCATTATTTCATGGCTTCTTCCCCATCCGATGCATTCCTGTTCACCCTTCTCCTTTTCAGTTCCTTCCATTTCCCCAACCCTTACGCATAATGATTCATCTGTTGTTTGGAGTTAGACTGGTGGTTTTCAGCCCCCGGTCCTCTGAGGACCTTTTAAAAAATGTGCGCTGGGATGAGGCTGATCCCAGAACAACTCCAGTAGAACCTCCAGAGAAGAAGCTTGTGCATCAGAATGTGTTCAAAGCAACTCAGTTGAAAATATAGAGCTATACTGAAGGAGGATAAGAACATAGCCTTTCCTCTCTGCTTATGCCCCTTAAGAGTCCCCTTCTCACTAGGCCCTTAGTCAGCACATTTACTGACCCTGCCCAACACTGTGACATCTCCGGGACCTTGTCCATGAGATTCAGGCTAAGGCAAGAATAATGAAGGCTTTTTTTCATAGACCCACAAAAAGGTAATGGACTAGAGGAATCAAGTATTCCAGTTAAACTCTGATCTCCAAATTCAGATTAACATTTACAGCCTATTCCTTATGTATCCTTTTTTTGTGTGTTTGGTACGCGGGCCTCTCACTGGTGTGGCCTCTCCCGCTGCAGAGCACAGGCTCTGGATGCGCAGGTCCAGCGGCCACGGCCCACAGGCCCAGCCGCTCCACGGCACGTGGGATCCTCCCGGACTGGGGCACGAACCTGCATCCCCTGCATCGGCAGGTGGACCCCCAACCACTGCGCCACCAGGGAAGCCCCTTATGTGTCCTTTTTGAAGGTCACAATCACAGAAATAAGAGCAGAAGGACAGCAACTAGGCTGAGGTAAGGAGGTAAGGAGATACCAAGGACACAAAATTTAAGGAGGCACTCACTCTCAGGTGCCCACCCTGCACTTACAAGATCCTGGGAGTGACTGCTTCCTTAAATTTTGCATCCTAGGAGACTCTCTTTACCTCATTCTAGTCCTGGCTCCAAAGGGAGCTAAAATGAGACCTTTTCTAAAGGAATGCTGGAATGCTGGGAAGCGAGGATGACTGTAATCACCCAGTTCAGTGAAGATTTAATAAGTAAAACTGATACAGCCTCCTGAGCACATCTTAGCAGTAAGATTTCAGAACTTGAAATGAGAATTATGATCTGACATTAGCTCCCAGGGCTGTACCCCACCCCCCAAATCCCACCCCCAATATGCAATTTATGGAAGGTTATGAAAGGCAAGTTTTAGTCAGAAGAGCAGCAAGTTTCTATTTGTGTTAAGAGAGAGTGACACAAATTTATAACTGAAAGTCAAGTGTCACGATACTTTCTCTAGTAACATACTCAGTATCTCTTAATTTCAATCCTTCATTCATTATCTCTATTGTTACAAGATACAAATGAATTACTGCATGTGGGACACCTAGTCCAGTGCTGGCACAACTGAGTGCTCAAAGCTGGTAACCATTTTTTCTCATCAGGAGGATAATGGAACTCAGGAAACACTTCTCACCCAATATCACCCCATCAGCAATTCCACGTTATTTAAAGACAGAGTCAAGCCAGGTACAGACTACAGCCTCTACCTCTCTCCAGTCCAAATCCAGGATGATGGCCGGAAGTTCCCTTGCCAGGCTGTAGTCAGGTCTGGCAAAATCTTCAGGCGCTCCACCACGGTCAGGGTTTTTGCTAAGAGTTTCTGTTCTCTGGACTCCCTGCCATCCTCCTGTCACTGTCTCCTGCTTTCTCTCCACTAAAGAGGAAGCACCCTGTTAGCGGGAGAGCAGCCACACAAGGGTCACTATTCTGGAGTTCTGTTTGCCTTGATAGTTGTCATTCGTGTTACGGCTGGGGACGAGGGTAGGAAGCTAAAGAATGATGGTTCAGTTGCCAAAGATCGGTCAGTTTCCTGGTGACCACTACTTTATGTGCAATTTTAATGTTTCCTGAGAATACTGGAAGTCTCTTTAATTATAACTAGGTCTAATTGCTTAGTTGTCTAATTGCCTTAGTTGCTTTCTGGAGCAGAGTGGAATAAGGCCAGTGTGAGAAAAGGAAGATGACAAACACAGCTCCAAAGAAACTCTGCAGGAGTCCTCTCACCCCTACCAAGGCCAGCTGGGGTGAGAGACTGTCCAGCTTCTCCAGCCAAAGAACCTGCTGGGATGGCCCTCTGACCCTGCAATCACAGGAGAGTGGAGCTTAGGTGAAATATCCACTGTGGCCTCAAACAAATTGCAGAGACTCTGCAGGGTGTGAATTTAAGGGAAATGTGAAAATTCTATTTTGCTCAGTGATGCAAGGAAACATCAATAAACAGAAACCCTTGGCTTTGGATATTTTTCATTTTTGTGACTAAGAACTGTGTTTTTTAAAACATCATTTTTAAATGAAGGCAAAGAGAAAAACAGTGATGTGGATGAGCAGTTAATTGTTTTTGAAAATGAGATAAACAAAGAGAAAATAATTCACACCACCTAAGAGCATGGGCTGGTAGATATTTTCTCAGTTGTCTGAATGATAGGACAAGTGAAAAATCTTTGTTTTTACTTAGAATCTTATTGATTATTATTAGAGGTCACACAAGTCAGTATTTTGAAGGAAATGCAAACCCTTTAGTTCATAAAGGTGGGAAGAGCTACAGCCAAAATGTATTTAGTTTGAAGTCGCTTGCTTATAGCTTCTCCTGTATCTCTTTCTCCAGCTCTCACTCTCTTCCTCCTGCCCTGCCTCCCTTTCTCCTTCCTTCCCTCCCTCTTTTTCCATCTCTCCTCAGGGATAGGCTAGGAAATAATCAATTGCCCTTGATGGTCAGGTTCCTTATGGAGCCTAGACAATGCCCTGTGATGAGTTGGAAAGGCTGTTCATCTCTTTTATTGACATCACCATTCACTCACTTATGGGGTATGACTGTCTTAGCACAAACATGAAGCTGACTCATCTGGCCTGACTATTGGCAAATCGATGGAGGCAGCCATCCGGGGTGTGAAAAAAAATAATTCTGTGTTAGGCAAACTGTGTCCCATTTGGCCAAGAGTTTTTGTACCATAACTCCATCTAATTGCCTTGTCAACATTTAAACCATGTCCTGTATCTCTTTGCTGCATTAAAATACCTTCATCTTGGTCTGGAATGCTTTTTACTCTCTTACATCTCATCTTTATCACCCTGTCTCTACATCTCTCTGTCTCTATATTTCTGTTTTCTTCTTCTTTGAACTCCTTTCAGTGGATGCTTAAAAATATGAAACTCTGCCTATTTGTTCATAGAATTAGATTTTTCCTGCTTCTTGGTTTTCTCCTTTAGCAAATGGGCCAGCTGTGTTGTGTTTGGACAGTCTTTAATCTATTTGGGAGTGTCACCCGAGTGTATATCATAGTGATCCTGGCAGAGGTATACACATATCGTATTCAGGACCCACTCTGCGTGCCTGGGTGATTCCCCGAATAGAATAAACCAAAAACAGAAACATGAAAACCTTGAAATAAATACTCAAATGTATCACTGAGCCATTCTATAAGCCCTAAGTCCAGTTTATTTCTTCTTCCAGAACACCTTCATTCTCTGGCAGACCAGGGATTAGAAGCTTCCTCTCTGCTACTTGCCGCATCCCTCTCACTAGCCTCCTTTGACTTTCCTTTCTTTAGTGGGGAGTCACCTGCCATCACAAGTTTGCTCTCCTGCACTGCTAAGCTCTAAATGTGATTGTCCTGAGCCCCCCAAAGAATCTGTCTCTCTCAGTCACCTCTGCAACTTTTAGTAATTGTTCTTGCTTTCAGGTCCTTCACTCTACTGGCATTTGTTGCTAATAGGAAATCAGAAATAGGCCTCCTCCCATAACCATTTTAGGTTGTATCTTGGTTTGGGTTCCCCTGAAAGAAAACTTTGAGACAAGGATTTGAATTAAATTAAGTTATTTGAGAGGTAGTCCTAGAAAACATAGGAGTGGGAAAATATGTCAAGGAAGGGAAGGAAGATAATAAAATGTACGTGATCAAGCCAGTTAGCACTATGGGTTTAGAGCTCATTCCCACTGGGAAACCCTGGGAGAATACACATCAGAGTTATACCAAACAAAGGCGAGGAAGCTGGGGTGTTATCCACCAACTCCCCACCTGTTGTCACCATTAACCTTCTGGGACTTCCAGTCTGCTCTACTTGTGGACTGAGTGTGTTTCCATAACCTCAGTAAATCTTCAGGAGAGGATCATATATATGCCCAGCAAGAGGCCTTCAGTAAGCAGAGGTTGAGTGGATGTAGCAGACACTGATGGCATCTGTGACAAGGGTCTTAATATTTTTTCCACTGGTTCATAGAGGGCTTTGTGTGCTATACTCAAGAACTTACTTGAGGGATTTCCCTGATGGCTCAGTGTTTAAGAATCTGCCTGCCAATGCAGGGGACACGGGTTCGATCCCCGGTCTGGGAAGATCCCACATGCCGCGGAACAGCTAAGCCCGTGAGCCACAACTACTGTGCCTGTGCCCTAGAGCCCGTGAGCCACAGCTACTGAGCCCACGTGCCACAACTACTGAGCCCACTTGCCACAACCACTGAAGCCCACATGCCACAACTACTGGAGCCCGTGTGCCTAGAGCCTGTGCTCCACAACAAGAGAAGCCACTGCAATGAGAAGCCCGTGCACCGCAACGAAGAGTAGCTCCCTCTCACGGCAACTGGAGAAAGCCAGCACACAGCAATGAAGACCCCATGCAACCAAAAAAATAATAAATAAAATAAAATAAATAAAATTTTTTTTAAAAAAAGAACTTACTTGAAGTTACTTCAGTTCAACATTATGTCCTCAATGTCTGTTTTATGCTGGGCACTTAAGTGCTAGAGATGGAGAGATGAATAAAGCATTCTGGCTCCAAGGCACTTACAATTTAGCGGGACAAGAAAATCACTGAAATAGCCCCTGATCTTTTCTAGTACCAAACAACTAAATAAGAACCAGGTGTTCTTCCTGCCCCTTCAGGGACCTGTAACTTGTGCTTTATTTCTAGGCCTTTGGACACATAGAACATTCCTCTCTTCCGTCTGCCCACTGCCTGCCCCTCCTCTCCCCCACATTCCTCCTTTCACCTGATTCACCCAGAAACATCTTTCAGATATCAGATGTGGCCTCTTCCAAAAGCCTCTTCTTATTCCCTAAGGTTGAGTTAGAAGCTTTTCTCAAAAGCTTTCTTCAAATCCCACATGTCCTTAATAGCAATACTTATATCAGTTCTATCAATTCTAATTTCTAGTTTATGCATCTGTATTTTCCATGAAAATGTAAATTTCTTGAAGATGATGAATATTATTTCTTCCTCTTTGTTTCCTAGGCATCTAGTATACTGCTGGCACACAGTGGGAGTTTAATAAATATCTGATGAGTTACGAATTTTTTACACACACACACACACACACACACACACACACTAGTGACCAGGTAGGGTATCATTCAGGGCCACTAACTAACTGTGTTTTATTTGCCTTTAAGCTAAGCCAGAAATCCCCACAATTGTGGAAAATAATTCCATGGGTGTCTTCGGAGAGGTGCGTAACGTTAAAGTTTTTGAAAATCTACAGCATAATTATGCCAGTGTGTGTCAGTTTGCATCATTGCTCAGAATGTTTCTCAGAGGACCTTATTCCAATTAATTTCTGGTGGGAATGAAGGAAAGCTGAGTTGACTCTAGAACCCAAATGGGAATCCTTATTTTCTGACTTAGGGCTCTCAGAACATGTTATCTTGTGATCCTTAGTCCTTAAGTTTCCTGGAAAAATTGTCTCAATTGTTTAAATTTCTGTTTAATAAATGTTGAAGTAGATAGTGAAGGAAAAGTAGGGCAGAAAGCAGTGTGAATCCTGTTGTAAGAATGAGGTTTTTGCTCATCCTTTGACGTTTAATTTGTTCTAATTCATTTCCTATACCGGCTTTCCTAGTGTTTTTATTTTTAAGTGACAAGAGGAAAGGTACCCTTCTGAACTCATTCAGAACCCTGGCTATTTCTTAGGTAGTACAAGGAAGGGCAGGAGAAAAAGGAAATTAGAATAGGCCCCTCTGACTTCAAATTCTTGTAGGTAGTTCCCAGCCTCTAGTCTCTGGGATCTGGGCTTATTTCCCTCCTCTTGCTGGCTGTGACCTTGAACTAATTACTTCACACCTTTGTAGTCAGTTTTCCCATCTATATGAAGGGGGTAAGGAGAGTATCAGCACGTTGTTGTTGTTTTTAGGAATTAAATGAAATAATGCATGAAAAATTCTTGGTATATTGTTTGGTATGTATTAAGTGCTCAATAAGCATTTTGTTGTTATTACTACTAATGTGTGTTGATCAGCTGTCTTATGGCATTATGACTTCATTGAAACTTTTCAAAATCCCAAGTAAAATAAATATTCTTCTTAATTCTCAAACATTTCCTGTTACATGGGATGAGAGAAAATTATATTCCAGTTTCTTCTAGCCCCAAGAACATTAAATAACTTATGATTTCTTGTCATGTTTTCACTGAATATCAGTCATGTAATTTGACAGCTGCATACAAATCATAGCTCAGGCTCTGTGGTACGGTTTTAGATGAGTATATTATCCAAGTCTTTTGATTTTATGAATTAGTCTCTTAGATTAATTGTTATTATAGTCCCAAGTACATAGGAAAGGTTTCCATTTTTTTGTTCTGCCACAATTAATTTTCAAGTTTATTAGTGGACTGCATTTCAATAGTTTAAGTAAAATAAATAATCTAATGATATAATGTTTGGTAGTTGTTTTGTTTCTTATCAGGATTTTTTTGTGGGTTCTTGGGCCAATGTTTATAGGTAACATGGACTCAATCCAGATATAGAACCACAAGGTTGGATCCAAGAATTCCAGTTTAAAAAGAAAAGGACTTTGTCTTATGTGTCATCAGATTTTGTGTTCTGTACCCATGCTTCCCTGGGCACTGACTAGAAAAACCAGAGAACTTTCCTTCCTGGGGAATTAGTTGGAATTAGTTGGTGTGGAATCACCAACTCCACATAACCAGCTACAGGACACAGCTTGTCTGTGGATCTTTTAAGACCTTGACAAACATTGGTAATTCCTCACTCTGTTATTCTTATAATCCCAATTATATTTTTAATAACTTATTAACTCTTCAAAGCCCTTTCACATGCTTTTATCACGTGATGCTCCCAATAAGCCTCTGAAATAGGTAGAACATCTTGTTATTTCACAGATGAGAAATCGGGGCCTGGAGAGTCTAAGCCACTGGCTGAGCCACTAATGAAGGGCAGAGGTGGGATGAGAATTTAGCATGCCTGTACCCAGGCAGGATGGCATAGCGGAAGGAGATCATGCTTTAAGGGCAGATAGAACTAAGGTCAAATCCTAATTCAACCACCTACTAGCAACATAGCCTCATCTAGTAGTTAAGCTCTATGAGTCCCAACTAACTCATCTCCAAAACTGGGATCATAATCAATATTACACAGGGTTCTTAGGTGCATTAGATTTATGCACAGTAATGGAGTACATAGCGCAGAGTGGATGTCTCAGAAATGTTTCTTCCCTTCCCACTACTTATCACTCACTCACTCTCTTTCACTTATTCCTTCCTCTGCATGAATATTCATAAATCTGCTATGTGATTGATTCTCAGAGACAGTGGGAGTTAATGAAAAAACACAACAAGATAGGTTGTGGAATCTGATAAACCTGGGTCTGAATTCTCCTCCTTCACTATTAACTCTGGGCCTTGGACCAGATTAGATTAGATTAGATTAGATTCCTCATCAATGAACAGGGACAATGATACCAACCTCACAATGGTGACATAAGGACCAAATGAGAGACCTGTATGCAAGCTGTCTACTATCTGGCAACCATTAGTGCTCAGTAATGGTAATTTCCTACCCTCTTCCCTTCATCTCTTAAAAATTAACCAAGTCAACATGCATGTATTGATGCTTACTAGGCGCTACATGTTCACTGCACCAGCAGCCCTAAGTGTTAGAACAATAGGGGTTTGGTCAGCTGTGAACTGTGTCTTCCAGTGTTACTAGTTAAAATTACAAAGCTTGTGGTTAATTTAGCTTTCCTGTAGAATAGAAAAGCCCGCAGATTATTCTATCAATGATGTCTTTCAGGCTTAGACATGCAAGGGATGTCCACGGAGAGTGTCACCCCTATGGATGTCGTGTTCTTGCGTGTTTCCAAGGGCTCGGCTTTGCCAGGGCTCCAGCATGGCACACAGCCTCACCTCCACAGCTCCATGGAAAGAAAGAGTCTTTAAAGTAAGCTTCAGGGCCCCCCATGTAGCAGCTTTTTGCTCTAGAGCAAGAGATGCTGGGCCGAAGAGTCCCTCGGCCACAGCCCCTGGCCCTCTATACCCCTTACTCTGATGATGCAGCAAAAGAAAGCACAGGAGAGATACACGAAAACTCTAGTTTACTCAACAGGGCAATCTTTCCACGAGGCACATGTGTCTCTTTTTCCTGCCTGTGCTTTTACTAGATCACCTCCGTGGGTCCTGTCCTTGTCACTCTTACAAAATTTAGGAAAAAAACTAAAAAAACAAAACAAACAAAAAACAAAACTACCTCACGTGTGAAACGTAGGAAACAAAAGCAGGTGGGATTGAAATGCCTAAAAAGGAAGACAGGTTAAAATAACAAGACCCATGGAAAAAAGACACTGTAATCTAAAAGCAAAACATCAGAGTTTAGCAGGACATCTCCAGTAGCTATTTACAGAATTTGATTGTTTCTGTTTATTTAATTTTGGTTTTGCAAAGCCTGAGTTTTGTGCATTCCTTGACCTTCTTAAGCTCCATTTCCTGTGTGTGTGTGCGTGTGCGTGTGTGTGTGTGTGTGTGTGTGTGTGTTTAAGATTAGATATTGCAACCTTTTTTTCCCCTCATAGCATCTTTTGTAGCACATTAAGATTCTGAGTCCAAATCTCCAGCCGTGTGACTCCCAGCCGCCGTCATCATTTGCAGCAGTGAGCCCCTGAGCCCCTGAGCTTTCACCACAGATGGAAAGGGTCCTAAAAGGGGCATCACACCCCCGGGGGGAAACCATAAGGAAAGTGAAAGCTTTAATATCAGGCAGGTTTCTAGAAAAAAGGGGTTACAGGACTGCAATGCAGCCTGGGTTTTTCACAAGCCTGGTGTTTGGACTTGTGTCTTTTCACAAACAGCTCACAGGGAAGACAGATCTGACTGTTAGAGCTGCTGACATGCCTAAGAACAGCAGTAAAAAGGAGCCACATAGGTGGGGACCAAATAAGGCAAGACACCATTATTATACCAGGATCTTGTCTGCTTTAGGGACATGGCTGTCTACAGTCTGTCAATGCTGGCTTTGTCTCCTCTTGTCTTCCCCTGCTCTCACCATGCCCTCTTCCCCACTCCCAATGCAGTTTTGTTTTGTTTTGTTTTGTTTTGTTTTGTTTTGTTTTGTTTTGTTTTGTTT